TCCTTTCCCCATCCTTTCTTGTTGCCCTCTGTCCCCAGGAAAGAATGGTCAAGTTGTCTTTCGTCTACCCTCTGCCTGGCCTGTGTTACAGCACATTCCCTGCTATGGTCTTTACATGTGAAAGAGTCCTCCTCCCAGATTCCTAGAGATGAGACATCTTGTGTTTCCCTGTCTGCAAGCCTGAATGTCCATAAATTTGTTCAATAAATAAATGTTCTGTGGGGGTTTTTGGTTTTTTCTTTGTCTGCTGGGAATTGGATACAGGACCTTGCACATGCTGGGCAAGTGCTGTTCCACTGAACTATATGCTCAGTTCCAATAAATATTTTTTAAATCTTCCTACAGCCAGAGTGTCCTGTCTAGTTGCTATATGGAGACGATCTCTGCTCTCATAGGCTTAGTTACTTGCCAAGTGAGGGGTGTATGTAAACATGTAAGTAGAGAAGTCATTTCAAACAGCACTAAGTGCCAGGAAGAAAGTATAACACAATTGTCCCACAGACGATTGGCTCCATCTCTACCGATGCCAGAATCTAAGATGAGGGCTGGGCGTATAGCTCAGCAGCACAGTGCCTGCCTGGCAAGCGCGAGGTCCTGAGTTTGATTCCTGGTACCAGAAAATGAAACAAAACAAAACAACATAAAAGCCAAGGATGTGCAAGTCTTTGCAGTAAAATGTCATAGTATTTGCACAGCACTAAACACATTGTTCTGTATACTTAAAATCATCTGTCCATTACTTATAGTTCCTAAAGTTATACTGTATGGTTTAGGGAATAACGACAAGGAACGAAACTCTACACGGTCAGGACAGAGGTAACCACTGTAAGCCTAACTGCATAACACAGGACAGGAGGTTGGTGCTGAGTCCAGGGTTGCTGACTCCAAGGCTGTGAGTACAGGTGGACAGAGAGAGAAAGCTTGTTGTTGGGCAGTTACTTAAAGGAATGGTCGTGCTGAGGATATGGGTCAGCGGCAGTGTCCTTGCCTGGCATGCCAAAAACAAACAAAACCAAGAAGTGGCTGTGGAGAGTGAAAGGCCATTAGAGGCAGGGGCTCTGAGAAGGCCTCTCTCAGACTGGGGCCTGAATCGGGAAATGGGTGAATCCTGGAAGTCGCAGGCTGTGGATTCTAAGGGGAGACAGAGATGCTGAGGGGGAACAAGAGGAGCTTGCTCAGTGTCCAGTGGGGAAAGTATATTCAGATCAAGAACAGAAATCAGGGACGTGTGGAGAGACTGGATTCCTTATATTTGATTCTAGCCACTACAGAAAGCCTTTGGTTGTTTTAAAAGTGGACATGACACCATCTGATTGAGGCACTGCCTGCGTCGTTTTAGGATATGGAAAAGGGGCTTCAGGAGGCAGGGAGGTCAGCAGTGGTCCAGGTTAGAGGCTGCCTGGGCTGCAGAGGGACCAAGTGGGAAGTGATTGTGTCAGGGGCACATTTTAGAGTGTGTGCTCACGAGTTTCTGTTGGACTGGATATGGGATAGGAAGAAAAGGAAAATCAGGACTGACATGAACTTTGAGCCTTGGCAAGGACTGCACTGCTTTTTCCTGAAGTGGGGTTATCCCCGGGGTGGAGAGCAAATATGGGGAGAGAAAATATCAAGTGAAATTAGGATGCCTGTTGGACACCCATGTGGGTAGACAGGAGAGGGGGCTCACTCTGCTTGCTGCTTTACCTGGATTTGGTACATGTTTGCTAAAGGAGTGGGGATCACTTGGTGGTCAAATAGATGTCTTTATTTTATTTCTGTTTTAAACTCCTTTGGCCTCTTAGAGGTGGTATTCTTGGAGGGAGAGAGAGATGGTATACTACGTCATTTCAGACAGAGACCAGTGCTGTAAAGAAAATAAAGTAGGACACCTGATAAATGCACACACACAAGGTAATGAGGCAGCTGCCTGCGGATGGAAAGTTCTGCAGGGCAGGGGTGGTAGGAGTTCCTGATAGCATCCCCCACTTCTTAGGAAGGGGCAGAAGAGCTGCCAGGGATCAATTTATGTCATTCTCGTAATGGCCTCGAAATGCCTCTTGGGACAGGAGGAAATCTTTGAACTGAAATGCCCCACTATGTAGGCACATCCTGGCACTCTGGGAAGCAGAGGCAGCAGGATCCAACGTTTGAAAATACTCCGGGCAATTTAGCAATGTAGTGAAACCTGTCTCAAAATAAAAAATAATAAAAGGCTGGAGGCTGGGTGTAGGGGCACATGTCTATAATCCCAGTGCTGGGGATTTGGAATTGGGACTGAGACAGGAGAGTCACTGTGAATTTGAGGCCAGCTTGGGCTACATAGTTAGTTTAAGGTCAGCCTAAACTATATAATGAAATGCTCTCTCTCTCTCAAAAAAAATGGGAAGAGGGCTGGGGATTTAGCTTATTATAAAGGCCCTGGGTTCAGCCTACACACACACACACACACACACACACACACACACACACACGCACAGAGTTGTGGGGAGAGAAGAGAGACCAGAGCTCAGAGCTCCCCCACCCAAAGGCTGGACCTAATCCAAGTACCCTGCCCTGCCCTGGACCCCGGGCCCACTATTCCTTTACTCCATACAACTCTGGAGACAGAGCACTGAGGTTTCATGTGTTTGCTGCTTCACTCAGGTTGCCTGTATTCTTCTGGCAAAATCACTTGCCAAGCTCTTCCTCTGAGCACACAATGGTACACAATGGTTCTGGGCATTTCTACTCATCAGCCAGTGCTTCCTGAGCACCTACTATGTGCTGAGGACAGTGATGGCCAAAACAGGACAGAGGACACACGCAACACTGTCCAGGGGGAAAAGCATAAAACCACACAGGCAATCACAACAATTTGGACAAAGCATGATGGAGGTGCACAGGGAGCCAGGAAGTGATGGAACTGGGGCTCAAGGGCTGTAAGCAAGGGCCTGCCCTGTCCCTCAACAGCTCCTGAGTCACCCCAGCAGGGCTGGGGAGGCTCATAGTGGAAGGCAGGGACAGACAGAGAGCACAGCGTAGGAGGGCCCTGAAAACTGCTTATGGGTGGCAAGGGGCTGGGCAGTATCCCAGGGCTGCTGACTGTAGCTGAAAGCCCATGGGATGGAGTAAGATTTCACCAGCTGGAGAAGGGAGGGGAATGATTGCAGGCTGAAAGTGCCAGGAGAGGCAGGAGGCAGCAAAGCTGGCGTGATGTGTGGGATGTGTGCAGACAGGAATGCAGAGGGGCGTGGCAGGACCTGGCTAGGATCAATCTGAATCTGGACTCTGACTTTACCAAACCTTATCCCTGGTGGGCTGAGCTCACAACCTTCAAGGCTTTGCACAGCTCTGGCAACCAAATGGGCAGAGCACAGGCCTGGATTCTGGCTACTACATTGGTCTACCTCTTTGGGTCTCAGTTTCCTCCCCTGTAGAATAGGGATGAATAACAGTAGTAAGAATCCTAGCTGACGTTCACTGAGCCATTGCGCCATGCCTGGAATGCTTCTAACGTTGCATTCAATCACAGCAGCAGCTCCAGAAGTTTGTCTTTCTAATGCTTCCATTTTCAGATGAGAAGAAAGAGACTGGGAAAGGTCCAGCAACTTGCCCCAGATCACATATACATCCGATGGCACCAGGATCAGGGTCTGAGCTCAGGCTGGCTGTAGAATCCAAGTTCTTCTCCACTGCATGGTGTTATCTCAGGACCACTTGCTCACTCAGCAAATAACTATTGAGCATTTGCCATGTGCCAGCCACTGTGCTGGGTTCTAGGCACACAGCAGTGCACGAGATAGACCACGTCCTGGGGATCATAGAGGTGACATTCTGATTAATAAATAGGCACATTAGAAAATGGGGTTAAAAATGAGGTCCTGAGGGACAAATAAAAGTATTCAATGCACAAACAAACACATGAGAAAGTAACATCATTTCAGAGCCTGGTATGGTGGTACATACGTATAACCTGGAAGCCTGAGGCAGGATTGAGTCCAGCTAGGGCTATTTACTGAGACTTAGTCTCAAAAAGGAAAAAAAAAAAAAAAAAAAAAGCTGGGTGTGGTGTTGCATTCCTATAATCCTAGCACTTGGGAGGCTCAGGCAGGCAGATTGCTACAAGTTTAAGACCAGCCTGGGCTACAAAGTGAGTTCAAAGTAGCCTGAACTGCATAGTGAGACCCTGTGTCAAAAAGACAAAAAAAAAAAGTTTAAAAAAAAATTAGGTCAGGGCCAGGATTTGGCTCAGTGGCACAAGTGCCTGTCTGGCAAGCTCTAGGTTGCGAGTTCGATCCCTGGTACCAAAAAACAAACAAACAAAAAACTAATGTGTAAAAAAAAAAAGCGAGGTCATTCCAGACTGTATAAAGTGTTATTAGTTAATACAACTCTAACAGGAACTCCCTGTGTACTAAGAAGTGTTCCAAGTTCTTAATAATTTTTTTGTTTTGGTAGCAGGGATCAAACTCACAACCTTACACTTGCCAGGCAGATGCTTACACCACTAAGCTAAATCACTGGCAAAGTTCTTAGTATTTGAAAACTGTTTCTTTCTTATATTAGTCCTATGGGGTGGGTATCATTATCTAGCCCTTTTATGATGGCAAAAGATTTCTTGATGACGGCACATGCCTGTATCCCAGCACTCGGGAGGCTTAGGCAGGAAGATTGTTGCAAGTTTGAGACCAGCCTGGCTACAGATGAGCTCAAGGACATACTGAACTGTATAGCAAGACCCTGTCTCAAAAAGAAAAGAAGAAAGAAAAGAAGAGTTTTCTTGGTGGTGGGATGAGTGTGGTTGGGCTTGGGGCAAGGATCAGGCACAGCGAGGTTGAATAACTTATCTGAAGTCACGCAAAGAGAGCTGAGGGAAGAAAAAGCAAGTGCAAAGGTAGGATGGAGTCACAGGACATGACGTCACTTGGGGCTGTTGAGGTGTCCAGATGTGTCTTGGTGCTGGGGTTCCCCAGCAGGAGCAGCACACAGAGCTGGGCAGGTGCGATGGGCTGGGTACACACAGTGTGCTTGTGTCCTAGGAGGCTAATGGGCCTGCTGATGGCTATGCTGCAATCGCCCAGGCTGACAGGCTGACCCAGGAGCCCGAGAGCATCCGCAAGTGGAGGGAGGAGCAGAAGAAACGACTGCAGGAGCTGGGTGAGGCCAGGGCTCACTGGGAGCTTTGGGGGCATGATGGGGTGGAGCGGGGAACCTCAGGGCCTCACACTGTCCCTGGCTGAGGGTGGGCCCTGGGGCTGCCTGGTGAGAGTAGGGGGTCAAGCATCCAGGGCAGCTGTGCCCGCTGGAAGGCTGCCGCTTATTCTCCTGTTGGGGTTGCAGATGCTGCATCCAAAGTGACAGAACAGGAGTGGCGGGAGAAGGCCAAAAAGGATCTGGAGGAGTGGAACCAGCGCCAGAGTGAACAAGTTGAGAAGAACAAGATCAACAACCGGTGAGAGGAGCCCCAGGGATGTGAAGTAGCCTTAGGGGATACTGAGAGGGATAGGGGACACAAGTGAGCTTTGGGGACATGAGGGAAACTCAGGGATGTGGGTGGGCTATGGGGGCAGGAAACACTGTAGGCACATGAGAGAGCCATGAGCACTTGAGAGCAGCCACAGCACGGATGGTATTAGGGACTGTCCTGAACTGGTTGATTTGGTAGCGAGAGGCTGGAGGAAGGAGATGCTGAAACCCCTGAGCTGCTTCCTCAATTGAGATCCCTTCAGAGCTGGGCTTCCATTGAGCCCTCACCACTCTCCACATCGGAGAAGCAGCCATGTCTGCCACTCAGCAGAAAGGGCTCAGGGTCCCAGAGAACAGCTACGGTGTCCAAAGTTCTAGGAGCTGACCTGGACCTCTGCAGCCAGAATTAGGGTCAGAGAGCCCAGGCCTCCTTGAGAGTGAAGAACCAACCATGTAAAGGATTCTACTGCTTCTAGAAATTATAACACTCAACTCGGAGTGACCAAGGAATAAAAGGAAATTAGTGGCCTATATAACTGAAAAGGTCAAGGGTAAGGCCATAGGCACAGTGGCATCAGGGGCTCAAACAAAGTCAGTGGACACTTACTTTTACTGTCATTCAGCTCTGTTGTCTTCTATGTAGGCATCATTCTTGGGCACCCAGCCTGGATCTGGGGGGCAAGGATGGCCACCAGTGGCTCCAGGCTTCTGCCCTGTTCTTGCAGAGATCCAAGTGAAAATAACACCAGGCTTCCTACAGCTCCAGTCATAGTCCTTGACCTGGTCCTTATTGGTATGGCTTAGGTCACATGCTCATGCCAGACTACTGACTGTAGCCAGGAGGAGGGACACTCTGATGGGACGGCCTAGAGTGAAAGTCCTATTCCTTGGGCTGTGCACGGGCCTCTGTCACTCAAATCACAGGGACGATAGTGGTGTAGCCTTGTCCCCCAGAGGACAGTCAGGGTGTCTGCCTGGAAATAGGGTCATGGATGCTGGACAAAGACAGCAGATGCTCCCACCAAAGAACACCTTTGTGGAAATGGCCTCAGACTGGATGATACCCAGTGGCCCTTGCCTTGGAGGCTGTGTCCTTTAAGCTACAAGATCTTTCCAGAAGGAAAAGACACTCGGGAAACTGGCAAGCTTGTGTTCAAGAAACTGCTGGGCTTGGGCCAGGCACTGAGGAGTCAGAGATGAGGAGGATCCAGTCTGTCCTCAAAGAACTCAGGAGAGAAGCATGCACACACGCACGTACACAAACACACACACACACACACACACACACACCACCTGAACTAGAATAGATAGAGTGGATAGAGTGGGACCCTCTGCGTGTTAGTCATAGAAACAAAGAGTATGCTAAAGGGGACTCCTTGTGCCTGGAGACTTGGGCTTTGGAGGATGACTAGGAGTTCAGGGGGTAAGGCGCATGGTGTAAGGCAGAGCATTCTTAGCCCTGGGAACAGCGCAGTGGGTGAGAGGATGTAGTGTATTGGGCTATAGCGAGTCCAGGAGTAGCAGAAGAAAAGGCATGGAGCTAGCAGGGTTGGGGTGTCATGCTGGAAGGGCCTTGAGCAGAGATGTGGGTAGTGGGGAGCCATTGATCAGCGCTGTTTTAGAAAAGGCTCTGTAGCCAGGGAGGCGGACCTCCACTGTCCAGTCTGGGGCTATGGGTAGTTGCTGAGCCTTCCAACTGTGCTTCCTAACAAGTCTCCCTGGAGGTACTAATGCTGTCTCTTTCTCTTTAACCCCCTGGCTGCCTGTCTTGCTGTTTGTCTCCCACACCTAACCTAACCTTTCCCTCAAGGATCGCTGACAAGGCGTTCTACCAGCAGCCAGATGCTGATATCATCGGCTACGTGTATGTGACTCCTTCACTCCTCTGCTTGGGGGTGGGGGAGTGCTGAAGAGGGTGTGGGCCCACCTCGAGGCTGGCATAAAGTTTCTCAGGTCGTCTGCTGATGGGGTGTAAATGCATGTGGCTGGGCTTGGGACAATGAACCCCTGGGATAGGCACCAACCATGGCCTTCGTTGCTCTGACAGATTGGAGGCAGCTTTGCCAAATCAGAGAGCCCTGTGGAGGTGCCAGGGTGGCGAGTGGGCAGAGAACAGAATGTGCTGGCCATTCCCACATGGGAGGGGGAAACACAAGGCATCCCCTGCACCTTCTCTCAGAGATGCCTGCTGGGTGGGTGGGGTGATGGTGTCTTCCATGAACAAAAGAAACACAGACCACAGAGTGCTGAAGACATAAATAGGAGTTGCTTTCTACCCATTCCCCTCCTACTCCTAAGGGTACCAACTCTGTTTTTGGTACTGGGAATTGAACTCATGACCTCATGCTTGCCACGCAGACATTGTGCTGCTGAGTTTGGCCCTGGACCCTGTACCAGCTTTGGGTCTGAGCACCTGCCCATACTGCCATGTGCCCTCACATGCCGCTGTGTTCAGAGTCCAGCTGGTACTGTGACTGACCTAGACTTGGGATGGCACCAGGTTTCCTCTCATGCCTGCACCAGTTGACTGAAAGTGACTGCCTAATGGGTGGCATTGGGGATTCTGAAGCTGAAGAAAAAAAATGTAATGATTATTGAGTGATGTCTGGGGGTGGGGGTGTGTGTGTGCGTGCACATGCCTGCCAAGTGCTTGCTCTTCCTGGGGAGCTATTCCTTGCCCTGGAGATGCTACTGCAGCCCAAGCTGCTGCCTCGGTTAAATCTTCTCCCACAAAGCACATGGCCCAGTAAGGCAGCGACCTTCCTCTCCTTCCACCTACCTCCTTCTCATCTGTCCTGTGTGTGGTCACTGGTATTTGCCCTATGCCAGTCTCTGGTCAAAGAGCAATGAGAAGGCGGGTGTGCTGGTGCGTGTCTGTAATCCCAGTGTTCTGGGAGGTGGATCATGAGTTTGGTTCCACCTAGTCAGTTTAGTGATTTAGTGAGACCAAAAATGGTACTGGGGATTTAGCTCAGTGTGAAAGCCCTGGGTTCAACTTCCCAGTCTGTCTGTTTCTGTCTGTCTGTCTGAAAACAGAAAAAGAAAAGAAAAGAAATAATGTGCACATGGCTTGAAGCATGTAGTGATTAGGAAGCACACACAAAGTTCTGGGAGCCACTTTCTGCTGGGAGAGCCAGGACAGGTTTCAGAAATTCTGACCTTCAGGTGGATGTGTTGTGTTGTGTTGTATCAGTCTGGCCTTGAACACATGGAAATCCCCCTGCCTCACCCTCCTGAGTGCTGGGGTTTCAGGTGTGTGCCACCACATTTGGCTCCTTAAAATGCAAAAGGAATTTGTTGGGTGGGGAGGATGGGACTGGAAGATGGGAGAGGCAAAGGAACTACCTGACAGCCTCCATGACTGGAGCACTGTCAGGTCTGGGTTGCTGGGAGTGGATAGGAACTGAGATGGGGAGGTGTCAGCTCGGCAGCTGCAAAGCACCTGTTGTGCTGGACTAAGAAACTCAGACTTGGTGCTGAAGGCTTTGGGGAGTCATGGGAGGTTTCCAGCCAGGAAAGCAGGATGTCTAACAGGTGTGGTTCTGTGGAATGCCACAAGGGTTCTCTGCTCCCGTTCAGCTTAAGTGGCCCTAGGAGCACCCAAGAAGACCTAGTGTGGAGAACAAAACCAGGGCTTCTCAAGACGTCCACATGGCTGTGTGTGAACAGGGGAGCTTGGGCAGGTGATTCAGTACGATAGAGTCTGTTTCTAGGAGGCTCCGTGGTGATACCAGACTGCTGGCCCATGCACCACCCTCTTCTGAGCAGGAAAAAGCAGGGAACCTTGACTCTGAAATGGGCATTCCCTGGGATATCACCCCTCATCTTCACTCTCCAGCACTACACAGAGCACACCTGCTGCTGCTCGTTTCTCAGGCCAGGAAACACTGCCAGCATGGAGGCTGTGACCCCCATTTTATAGGTTAGGAGATAAACACACAGCAGGTAGGCAGGTTTTCTAGGGAGGGGATGGATGACCTGATTGTAAGCCAGCTTCTCCTCAGAAGAGCCCACAAGCTCCCCACCATTAGCCAGTGCCTGAGTCACAGAGCGGGTCTTGTTTGAGAGGCTCCCAAAAGAAAGGGTCTCTTCAGGAAGCCTTGCTGGTCCAGGATAGAGACCCAGCCTTTCCCACCTAATAATGGTGTTTTTTTTTTTTTTTTTTTTTTTTTTTTAGACAGGGTTGCACAATGCAGTTCAGGCTGACCTTGAACTTACTGTGTAACCTAGGCTGGCCTCGAACTTGTGATCCTTTTGCCTCAGCCTCCCAAGTGCTGGGATTACAAGCATATACCACCACACCTGGCTATTTTCTTTATCCTTTGAGACAGTCTCACTATGTAGTTCAGGCTAGACTTGAACTCGTGATCCTTCTGCCCCGGCCTCCCAAGTGCTGGGATTGCAGATGTGTGGCACCATGAATGGCTCTTGTCTTTCTTTTAATGACTCCTACGTTTAGATTTCATCTACTCAATGGCATCTACCACCCCTTTTCAGTCTTTTTTTTTCTTTCCCCTTTGCAGTGCTGGTATGAAACCCATGGGCCTTAGCATGGCAGGAAAGAGCTTTATCAACCCCAATTAGTGGCTTTTTAAACTGTCAGTCTAAACTGATGAAGAGGCCATACCAGTTTGCATCCTAACTTGATTATAACCCAAAACAAAGACTCCAATGGCTCCATAGAGATAATAGCTGTACTTGTTCTGGCCTGAAAAGGACTAGATATGCTCAGGGTATGGAGGATTCTACATCGATAGTATATGTGAATACCACCTTGAAGGGTCATGATAACAACACATTAACGGCCAGGTAAGTTTTGATATAAAGATCTTTTTCTGTTTTTTTGGTATTTTTTGAACTGTGTATTCTAGGCTGGCCTCAAACTGATAGCAGTCTGTCTGCCTCAGCCTCACAAATGCTGGAATTACAGGCATGTACCACCCTATCAGGCTTAAAGATCCTTTCTGAGATGTCTATATGCGTCCACCACAATCCTCTGCATACAGAACATCCAGCAGTGCTGAGGAAGGCACTGCAGTTAGTCAGGAGGTTAGTCACATCTCACCGTGGTAAATGTTACGGAAATGATTAGCATAGCTGTGGTACTGTGTTGTTTCTCCAGAGGGCTTAAAGTGTCAGGAGTCCGAGGTTGGGAGCTCCTGATGGAGAAGGAATGAGAAAGTACCTAGATTTGGAAATAACTTGCTCAGGAGGTGCGGTCTACACTGGGGACTGAATCACAGGGAGCAACAAGGCATGAGCAGGTGTGAGGGAGGAACCTCTGAGGAAGGTGACAGTATGCAAAGTAGCTTTTTGTGTGTGTGTGTCCTAACCCAGAGCATCACGCATGCAAAGTGTGTGCTCTACTACTGAGCTTCATCTTCAGCCCTCTGCTGCTTTTTGTTGTTGTTTGGGTACAAGGGATCGAACTCATGACCTTGCACTTGCCAGGCAGGCACTTATGCCACTGAGCTAAATCCCCAGCCCTTAATTTTTTTTTATAGGTCTATTTTAGATATACATAGTGATCCAATTCATCATTGGGAATTTGTACCTGTACATGATACACCTTCTATTTTTTCTCCATTCCCCTCCCCTCCCTTCAATCCCTCTTCCCCTCATTTACAAAAGCTTTGTTTCCATTTTTTTGTGTTTTTTTTGTCACTTCCTTCCTTTCCCCCTTCTCCTCCCTTGCTCCCTTTCTCATTTGAACATTTTCTTCCCATTTCCCAATATCTATTATACATTTTGGTCTTTATTTACACTTTTGGTTCACACCAAAGAGACAGTACACCACGTGTGTCTGATTTTCCCACTTAAGAGTACCTCAAGGTGCATCCATTTAGCTAGAAATGTCTCAAGCTTATCCTTCTTTATGGTAGAGTAGTAATCTATGGTATATAAAAAAAAATCCACACCTGACACATATCTATAATCCCAGGACTCAGGAGACTGAAACAGGAGGATCACTGTGAGTTCGAGGCCAGCTTGGTCTACAAAATGTCCTCAAGGCCGGCCTAAACTGCATAGTGAGACCCTGTCTCGAAAAAGACAAAAAACAAGCACCAAGCACCAAAAAATCCCATATTTTCTTAATCCATTCATTGGTTGTGGGGCATTTGGGTTGTTTCCAAGATTTAGCTGTTACAAACTGTCTTTGGCTCTTTGTTCCCAGGTTATTCCTGGGAAGCTGAGGTGAAGGGCCCTGTGCTGGAGGGACTTGCATAAAGTGCCCCAGCATGGAAAGCAGCCTTCCTCAGTGGAAGCAGGTCCTCACTGACTTTGGAGAAAGAGAGCTCTGAGACCTCTGTCCCATCTCTCCTTGCAGGGCATCTGAGGAGGCTTTCGTGAAGGAATCCAAGGAGGACACCCCAGGCACAGAATGGGAGAAGGTGGCTCAGCTGTGTGACTTCAACCCCAAGAGCAGCAAGCAATGCAAAGATGTGTCCCGACTGCGCTCGGTGCTCATGTCACTGAAGCAGACACCGCTGTCCCGCTAGACGTCTGCCGGAATCATGGCCTCAGAGCAAGGGCTGTGCCAAGCAGAGGAGGATTGGCTGCCGAGGCCAGGGTGCAAAGTGGAAACCCTCTGGCAGCTGCTGCACACAGTCTATTCTGTTCCTGTCCATCTCTCAGGGCTGGACAGGGGGATCCTTACCCCTCTTGCCCCTTTCCCTCCTGGCCCTATGGCCCAGCCCCTCATGCCTTCTGTCATCCACTCAATTGTGACTGTCCCTCCTGATGTATTTTTTCTTGGCTTAAAGGGTGTGTTGTTAACTCTTTTTACACTTATTTATTATCATCCTTATTTCTCTGGAAGCCATAACTGGTGTCAGGGCTGTTTGTGCTTAGAAACTTCCCAATTTCATAGCCTTGTGAGAAGACGAGGGTGTTCCCCAGGTAACCCAGGAGCTCCCAGCCAGAAATGGCAACTCCCTCCTGTGTTGGCTGCTTCCATGCCCTGGAGGAAAGACCACCTCTCACAGGATGCTTTTGCAACCTTGATCCTTACTGACCCTGGAACCTGTGGGGTAGGGTCAAGGGCACCAATGCTCCCAGAAGGAAGAGAGCAAGGGAAGAGGCAAAACAATGGTCCATAGTGGTGGCTTCTAAGCCTGAATGACAGGCTGATGGCTTAAGCTATCTTCTGCCAGGTCTGCTTCCTCACATTTGCCCAGGACATTCTGGAAATGGAAGGGCGGAGTTCTGTGGGTTTTGCCTTCTCTTCAGCTGTGCCCTTTTGTGGAATTGGGATAAATACTCAGTAACCACACCTTCTCCTTTATTTTTTGAGACAAGGTCTTGCTTGGTAACTCACACTGGCTTTGAACTCATTGTGTAGCCCATGCTGTCCTTGAACTCAGAGTGATCCTCCTACCTCAGACTCCTGAGTGTTGGGATCACAGGTGTGCACCACCACACCCAGCTCATCTTTTCCTTTTTTAGTTTCCTTCTGCCTCTTTAACAGAGGCTATAAGGATGTTCAAGCCAACATGACCTGCAGAGTTTAATTGCTAGCAATATAAGCTTTTTAGGGTCACTATAACAATGTACTATAAACTGGTTGACAATGGAAATTTATTGTGTCATAGTTCTGGAGCTTACAAGTCCACAATCGGTGCTATCAGGGCCATTTTCTCTGAAGGCACTAGAGAAGAATCTGTTTGGTGGCTCTTTCCTGGCTGTTGGTGGCCTTAGGCATTTCTCAGCTTGCAGGTGCACTGCTTGTTTTGCCTCAATTCTCATGTGGCCACTGTTACATTGTCTGCCCCCTATGCATGTCTTTGTGTCCAAATTTTCCCTTCTTATAAGGACACCAGTCACATTAAAGTCTACCCTAATGCTTTCATTTTATTCTGTAAAGTCCCTATGGCCAAATAAGGTCATATCCTAAAGAATTGGGAATTGGAACTTTAACCTATTATTTTTGGGAGACACAGAAACATCACATGCATAGTGGACATCATGTTTAAAAGTATCACTGTCCTCACAACACAAATCCTTTCCTTGTGTCTTGAGGCCAAGGATTACTACAACGCACTGCTCTACATTTGCAATCTCTCTCAGAGCTCAGAGACAGTGGTGGAGGCAAGAAACCTCGATGGTCTTTATCATAAACTATTTCACCTGGAGATCTAGACTGTGTCAGAGGACGAAGAGGAGGTATATTTTCTACATTGTCTTTTTCCTTTGCCATCTTGAAGGTGATGTTGAAGATGGAGTCAACATGGGTGTAGTCTAGGTCTCCAAATCAATACTTTAGAATTTATTGCAGACTAAAAATACTCATTGAGGGGGCTGGGGATTTAGCTCAGCAGCATAAGCGCCTGCTTTGCAAGCAGGCAGTCGTGAGTTCGATCCCTCCTACCGATAAAAACGAAAAAGACAAAAAAAAAAAATACTCATTGAGACTTCATGTGTCAAAAGCTGGGATGGTCTAGATCAGTGGTGGCAAACCTATGGCACACTTGCTGCAGGCAGCTGTTTGTTATCAATGAAAGCTCCAAAAGGTGGGCCATTACTAGTCTAGATCAGTAGAGCCCTAAGGTCTCAAGAGGCAAGGGTGGGGTGAAGAGAAAGTAGAAGGCAAGTCTCATCTAAGGGCCACTGAAAGTTTGAAGACTGCTGGCTAGGTTCCTCACATCCCACCTCCACCATCACTGGAGTGGCCCACTGAAAAAGTGGTCCCCCTTCTTTTTGAAACAAGGTCTGTGTACAGCTCAGGCTGGCCTCAAATTGAGGCAATCTCCTGCCTCAGCCTCCTAAGTGCTGGGATTACAGGTGTGTGCCACCACATCTGGCTTGAGTTAGAATCTTAAGGCAAGGTGCCTAGGAATCTCTACTTTTAACAAGTGCCCTAAGTGAGTGTTACCTGAAAAGTTTGAGAACCACTGCACTATATGATTTTGTTGTTGTTGTTTTGGTACTGTGATTGAACCCAGGACTCCTGCACTGAATTCTATCCAGTTTTTTTTTTTTTCTTTGAGACAGCCTCTCAGTAAGTTGCCCAGGCTGGCTACAATTTAGGATCCTCTTGCCTCAGCTTCCCAGTGTTGGGATCAAAGGTTGCGCCATCACACTCATCTCAGACTACATGATTTCCAAGGCCTACTCCAGGCTACAGTCTGTTGTCTGATAAAACCAAATGCCAAAACTCATGATTTTGACCATGGGATGTGTGGCTGAGAAAGGTGTCACAGAAGTCTAAATGAATTACATTTTATTGTGTAGGGAGTGGAGGAGGTGCGCCACAAACAGAAGTATTTGTAACGCCTAAACTGAAACGAATCTGTATTTCCGAAAAAAATCTCAGTTACACAAACACAGAAGCCTGGCAGAGGAGGGAGTAAGTCTCTTGGCACAGCTGGTAGTCCTGGGTTTTGGGATGATCACCGCAGAGCTGCTATGCCCCGGCAGTGAGCTCAGGATCGAGACTTCATAGCAGATGCAGCTAAACCCAGCAAGATGGCTGCGACCGTGAAGCCCTGAGCGGCAATTCGGGTGCGCATCATGAACTGGGAGCGCTGGCTATGGCCTTGGTGGAAGCAGTAGAGGCCGTAGGTGAGGGCGGCCGCAGTGCCCAGGCAGCCTGGGGACAGGGGGACAAAACAGTGGGTGCGTAGGTCAGGCTCCGCACGTCTGTTCGGGATTTGGCATCCGTTCCCAGACCCTAAGCGGAGAATTGGTACGGGGAGTCCTTTTCGCTCTACTAAGCGGAAAATTGGTACGGGGAGTCCTTTTCGCTCCAGAGTCCGCCCATACCGGCACCTCTATCAAGCCCCTAAACCCAAACTGTGGAGCCTTTCCCATCTCACCATCCCGCCCCTTCCCCAAGACTCTGGTCCACACTCTTTCAATACCCCCCCCCCGCCCGGCGTTTTAGGTCCTGCCCTATTGCATTCCCCGCAACATCACTTTCCCGTGAGTTTACAGTTCCTACAGCACCCCACTTACCTATGGGTACCATTGGGTTCTCGCGAGTCTTGCGAAGGAATTTTTCCTTGAAGCCTTCTTGGTGGATGTGGACACTGGGGTTAAAGCCTTCAATGACCGGAGGCTGCGACGGTTTAAAAGGTGCCTCCGGAGTCACAGGGCCGGGAGTTGCCATGTCCAGGGAAACACAGGAGAAAGTCTGGACACTAAACCCCTCCTCCTGATGAGGTCATAAAAGGGGCAGGGCAACTAACTATGCGGAGCGTAATCTGCAAACGCAAGTACTCGTTGCATTCTGGGAGTTGCGTTAACTTGCAGACCCGTTGCAGAAAAAACTACATTTCCCAGAAAGCTTGTAAACCCCTTCGCGCACCCGCCGGAAGCAGTCTGTTAACACGAGGTCCTCAGAGTGACAGTCTCTGGGTGAACTCTTGGTGAGTCGGTTAGCGTGATGCCAAAGGCCAAGGGCAAGACTCGGAGGCAGAAATTCGGTTATAACATCAACCGAAAGCGCCTGAACCGGAATGCTCGTCGGAAGGCAGCGCCGCGGATCCAGTGGTGAGGGGGCCGGCGTACGGGAGGCTGGGGGCCTCGGCCGCGACGGCCCACGAGATGACAGAACACGGATCTTTCTTTCTCTTTGCCCGTAGCTCCCATATCCGACATGCGTGGGATCACACCAAATCTGTACGGCAGAACCTGGCGGAGATGGGTCTGGCCATGGATCCCAACAAGGCGGTTCCCGTCCGTAAGAGAAAGGTACTAACAAGGCGGGATTGTGGCTCTTGCCGCCTTCCCACCTTTCCTTCCCTCTTTATTAACCTCCTTTTCTCCTTTCCCTTTCCTCGCCGCGCCTTCCTTCCTTCCTTCCCCTCGGTGTGTTTCACGTCCTTCCTGGGATTGCAGCCTCTGTCCACTGCCAACCCCTCTGCCTGCACCGACCGTGCTCTGGAGGCCCTTAATCATCCCCCTCCTCCCCCCGGCTCCCTGTGCAGCTCACATTTAGACTCGGGCTGCAGCTTCCTTCTTCCAACACAAAATATTTTTCCTCAGAAACTTCCTTTGCATCTCAGTGGTATTTTCCAGACTGTAAACTTAGCTGTCCGTGATCTTCCTAATAAAGACCCTCCCAGAGCTTGAGATCTTTACAATTTCCTGCATCTCTCCCAGTCAGCCTTTGGTAAGTGTTTCTCAGGCCACTCTTTTTTTTTTTAAACATGGAGGCTACTGGTTCTTGATTCTCTCTTTTTTTTTTTTTTTTTTTCATTTTTGTTGGTACTGGGGATCGAACTCACGACCGCCTGCTTGCAAGACAGGTGCTTATGCCGCTGAGCTAAATCCCCAGCCCCTTGATTCTCTTTTTTAAGTTTTTGGGTTTCAGGGAATCAAACTCAGGACCTTGACCTTGTCAGGCAGGTGCTTATGTCACTGAGCTGTATCCGGGCCCAGGCCACACTTAATTTAAACTTTCAGAATTAACATTCCTCTTATCCAATAACAATCTTCCTTTAATTTTTAGAATTTGTAGGTACATGATGGTGCTATGTGATATATTTACTTAGCTCATTGTTGTCTGTGCCTCTTTCTTCTAATGTAATCTCCTTGTGTTTTTGTCAACTCAGTAGTTAACCCATGAGTAGGCCCTATTACCTTTAGGCATCTTTGTCTTTTTTCCTTTGTGCCAGAGGAAAATAGCATTGTTTCTTAAACAAAATTAAAGCTATAGTTAAGCACTTTTAGATAGGCCTTCCCCATATCTAACATTTCCCCCTCACTGTAAATTATAAAGCACTTTCATGGCATTGTTTCAGTCACACAACCAAGTAAAGAAGGCAAGGAGCGTTATTTAATAGTCATGAAAAGAAAAGTGCCTTACTTGTGTTTCTTTTGAGAACTGTGGATTTTGAAGACCAGTGCATTGGTTTTTCTTGTTACTTACTTCTGTTTGATCGTGAGCAGGGATTTTTATGGGTAATATGGTTATAATGGGATGGGTAGGATCTTTCTGTGATCCAGGTCAGATTTCCCTGATCAAAGCTGCTTCCTTGTCTACTGCTCACAGGCTCTGTTCTCTGCAGGTGAAAGCCATGGAGGTGGACGTGGAAGAGAGGCCCAAGGAGCTTGTACGGAAGCCCTATGTACTAAATGGTGGGTGCAGACCATATTCCTCTGGGTCACTATGGTATCTGACCTGGAAAGGACCCTTGAATGTCTTCATTTTATAGCTGGCGAGACCAAAGTTCAGAGAGAAGGGAGCTGATCCAGGGTTGATGGAGTTATTACTTTGTCCCAGTCTCTGACATTTTCAGTTTAGTACTGAATAAATTTAATTGTGTGAACTAAGATCAGAGATACTCAGGGAGGATGTAGTCAAATGCTTAAAAAGATAGAAAAAAACTATAGAGTGTTTAAGCATGTGTTTGGCTTCTCATATATTTAAAGACGGACTGAGTTTGAGATTTTCCCATCTCATAGTCCAATGATAGATCACTTTCATGTATATTAAGGTTATGGAGACTGAATATTAAACAAGGAGAGTAAACCCTGCAGGCACCAGATGTAGTGTAATCTCAGCACTGGGAGGCTGGGGCAGGAGGATCCATGACAAGTTCGAGGCCAGCCTCTGCTACATGGTGAGTACAAGGACTTCCTGAATACAGAGAGAAACCCTCTCTCAAAAATGCAACAAAGAGGGCTGGGGATTTAGCTCAGTAGCATAGTACCTGCCTGGCAAGCTTGAAGCCCTTCCTGAGTTCATAGCTGGTTACCCCCCCACACACCCCATCCTGAAAAAAAACAACAACAAAGCAAAACAAGAACAAAAAAAAATTTTTTTATCGGTACCAGGGATTGAACTCACGACTGCCTGCTTGCAAGGCAGGCGCTTATGCTGCTGAGCTAAATCCCCAGCCCAAGAAGAAAAAATCTTTTAAAAAGTCCTGCAGGAAAGCAGAAATACTGTGGAATTCTTTTTTTTTTTTTTTGATACTAGGGATCGAACTCAAGACCTTGCACTTCCAGACTACTCTGGAATTCTTTAGTCTTCTTTATCTATCATGGATTTTACTTTATTATCTTAGTGGCTTATTTATTTTTTCCAAGCTGGGACCTGAACATGGGGCCTCACACATGCTAAGCACATAGCCACCCAACTATACTCCCAGCTCGTTAGGGATTTTTTAACAGCTTTCCTAAAGGTAAATGGATCTGAATGGCCTGACATTTTTTAGGGAAATCTTTGTGTTTGTGTCTTTAGTTGATATTGTGGTTCTCATAAGAATTACTACGGCTTGGTACCAGAAAAAAAAAATTGACTGCAAATTCATTAGAAAAGAAGAATAATTATTGTATAGGAATGTAATTAAAGAAAATTTAATTTTTATTTATTTATTTTTTTGTTTGTTTTCTTCAAGACAGGTTCTCACTATGTAGTTCAAATTGGCCTTGAACTCACTGTGTAGGCTAGGCTGGCCACACACTCCCAGCAGTCTTCTTGCCTCTGTTTCCCAAGTGCTGGCATTACAGATGTGTTCTACGTTGCCGGGCCTTGGCCTTGTTTTACTTTTCGGAAATAAGGTCTCCAGTATGTGGTCTGGGCTGGCCTAGAAGTAATGTTCTTGCCTCAGCCTCCTGAGTGCTGAGATGATAGGCATGTGCCACTGTGCTTGGCATTGTTTTTTATTTCAAAAACCTTACATTGCTAAAAAAATTACATAGAATTTACCATCTTAATTTGTTTTTAAATGGATATAAAATTCAATAGTGTTAAGTATTTTCACATTATGCAGCAGATGTCTAGCACTATGAGCCAGGCATGGTGGTACACATTTAGAATCCCAGGATTTGAGAAGCAGATTGCTGCAAATTCAAGGCCAGCCCAGAGTACATAGTAAATTTAGAATTTTTTGGTTTTGGTACCGGGGATCGAATTTATGACCTCACGCTTGCCAGGCAGGCGCTTATACCACTGAGCAAAGATAGAAAACGAAAAACAAAAATAAATAAAGATGTCTAGAACTCTCACTTGCAAATTTTAACCTATACTCATTAAACAACTCTCCATTTGCCCCCTCATCTGTATCAATAACAGCCTTGTCACATGTTATTTTGACTATAAGCAATATTAACACCTAACTTCTTAGATCACATATAACTGCAATTTCTGTGAGGAAGCTCTTATTCTGTACCGTAAATGAGAAATGAGTTTTTGCCTTTGATTTTGGTGGTGGTAGTGCTGAGAATCAGGGTCTTGCAAAGCCTAAGCAAGTATACTCTCCATTGAGCTACACTCCCAGCCTACTTTTTTTGTCTCACTATGCATTTTAGGCTGGCTTTGAACTCACTGTGTAGCCCAGGTTGGCCTTACTTTGTGGCAAGGTGCCACAACCCAGCGCAGCTCCTGAGGTTCTTGAGGTTAAGGACCGCCCGAGGATGAGAAAAATAAAAGACAAAGCTGGGGTCAGGTAGAGCCCTTAGTTTCCTGATGGGAGGAAAGGAACTGCTCAACCCGTGCAGCACATTTATTTATACCCTCCAAAGAAGACTGGATTTCAACTCCATTGCCTAGCAACTTGTTTGCCTGGCAGGCCTGGGCTCCTTACCTTCTCAGTGCTGGAACAACTTGTTTACATAGTTTGTTTTGGTTTCTCTGCTTTTTCTGGGCTGGACTTATTTCAGCCCCACACATGCATTAGTCTCCAGCTTCAACAGCTCAGCTCCCAACAGCAAGCCTCCTGCCTCAGCCTCCTGAGTGCTACCACACCTGGTTCTGTTTTAAAAGTAAAGCAGAGATTGTTCCATATCTTGGTTAGATTTTTCCCTTCATGTGGAATCTGGTCCCAGGTTCAGGCCCTAGTTCCTGCAGTTTTAGATTTTTTTTTTGAGACAGTCTAGCTGTGTGGTTTAGGCTGACCTTGAACTCACTATATAGTAGAGGTGGCTTCAAACTGACAGTGAGCCTACTACCTCCTGAGTGCTGGGATTACAGACCTGTACCACCACACCCACATCTACAGCTCTAGTTTCTATTTATTCAGATTTTTCTATTTTTTGTTTTATATAGTCCCTGAGATTTTAAAGCCAGAAAGTCCTGATATCTGGACAGATAGTATATCTTGACTTCTGTATCCACAGACCTGGTACCAAGTAGAGATATAGGTAAATAGATTGGTGCCTTCTTTTTAAACCCATCCAAGGTCTGGATAGGAGTGGCATACTTTTCAGGAAGTTGCCACACTAGGTAATTGCGTTATAGGAGGCAGAGTGTGGTATCCCAGAAGCTGAAGAAGTTGGTTCTGGCAGTGAGTTTGAGAATGGGTTTATATAGCAATTCTTTTTTTTTTTTTTTTTTTTTTTGTCTTTTTCCTTTTTATCGGTACCAGGAATCGAACTCACGACTGCCTGCTTGCAAGGCAGGCGCTTATGCTGCTGAGCTAAATCCCCAGCCCCTATATAGCAATTCTTACTGCATGGGATTGGGTGAAGGGTGTACAGACAGCTCAAACAGCAGAATCAAAGCCTCATCCCATCTCCTGTCTTTCCTTACCCCAGACCTGGAAGCTGAGGCCAGCCTCCCAGAAAAGAAAGGGAATACCTTGTCCCGAGACCTCATCGAGTACGTGCACCACATGGTGGAGAACTATGGGGAAGACTACAAGGTATGGTGGTTAGGCTGGTTAGGAAGCAGTGCTGGCCCATTCACGCTCTGATCTAGTTGCCCAGTATGTGTCTCCTGAGACTGAGTAGAAAGGAAGGAAGAGATTTTAGGAAATAAATCCCTTCACAGGGATTTGATACAAACAGAATGCTGACAGCTGGGGTAGATGGAGTAGCCTATGGTTCATATCCCATTTGACACATATGTCATAAAAAAAAAACTTGGCCTAGTTGCTGTTTTGTTTGTAAGAGAGTTCCCAGAAAATTCATATGTTTGGCTGTTTTTAAACATTGAAAGATGTAGCTATCCTGGACCTCTGTTCCCAGGTGGGAGTCATTGGCTACACATGAAGCATGAGCTCCTTATCTACTTCAGCTCCTGCCCAGCCTACTGGCTTCTTGGGTGTGCCTGATTCCTAAGGGCACTTGTACTCATTTTCCCAGCTCCTCCGTGCAAAAGGGTTCTACATACACTGTGGATTTTATTTATTTATTTATTTATTAATCAGTACTGGGGATCGAACTCACGACTCCCTGCTTGCAAGGCAGGCGCTTATGCTGCTGAGCTAAATCCCCAGCCCCCTAAGGTCTGGTTTTTGAGGTTTAGGAATCTGGCTATCAGTGATAGGAAGTGATTTGTCCAAGTCACACAGAGCTAGGATTTGAACCTCTGCCTGTCTGTCCCTCCTTGAATCTGTTTCTCCTTTCTTAGGCCATGGCCCGGGATGAGAAGAATTACTATCAAGACACCCCAAAACAGATTCGGAATAAGATCAACGTCTACAAGCGTTTTTACCCAGAGGAGTGGCAAGCCTTCCTTGATTCTTTGCAGAAGAATAAGATGGAGGTTGAATGACTCGGGCCTGAGGCCTCCTCCTGGACCAAAGAAGCTTCAGCTAGGGTGTAAGACTTCAGATGATGCTGGCTGATCCTGTGGGATCAGGTTACACACACTCACGTCCCTTGGAGGAGGAACTGTGTTTGAGGCGCTAGTTGAATTTGCAGGGATCCTCTTGCCTTAGCTGAGATACAGGTGTGTGCCACCATGCCTAGCTTTAAGACATCAATTTATATTTTTTCCTTTTTTTAAATTTTTTGAGTACTTGAGATTGGACTCAGGGCTTTGTATATGTTAGGTGAGCACCTCTATTACTGACCTACATCCCAGCCTTCCAATTTATATTATTTTGGGGGCTCACGGAAAGCCAGAACTTGCTGTTTTTAGAGTGGGTACTTTATTTGAATCGAGTCTATACATAATAAAACCAAGGATATTTTTCTTCTCCGATGGATTTGTATTTACCATTCCCACCCAAGCCCTGGGACTGATTTAGTGAGTACCAGCTCTCCTGGGGCAGAGAGGCTTCTAGCTTGGCAGCATGGCCACATCACAGGCTCTTGTAGGTGCAGTCTCCTTTCTCTTTAGTTGCCTTCTACCTTCGTTTTCCCATTTCTATTTGTCCTCCTACAGAAGCTTGCTGGGAACCTGGGTCTCTTGGCCTGTGCTGCCTCACCAGTGCTAGTCCCACCTGAGGCCAGCTGTGGCTTCATGGCCAGAGGGCAAGGAGCCAGCTCCTGGTCTGTCCTCCAAGTCACCTGCCATCTCTGCTTTTTTTGGGTTGCTTGTGTTTGCTTTGGCCCAGACCTGCTTTCTGGGACTGGTGGACTGTTGTATAATGCTCAGCATGCCAGGCACTGGCTCCATGCCATGTGGTCGTCCTTAAGAGCCAGCCTGCCTGACTCAGTGGCATGTGAGGTGGTGCTACCTGTTTCACAGCAGGATTATAGGCAAGGTGTGGAGTGAACATGTTCTTAAATCCTGATACTTTATTCCCAGTTATTAACCATGTAAAAACTCTCCCAAACTGTCTCCTAGAAGCACCTTAATCTGTCTCTTGACTACCCTTCATAAAAGAAGAGCTTGCTATTTAATATATTATTATGTGTGAAACTGAGGTATATGTCATCCTATCACTAAGGAAACAGACTAGATAGGTGTCAGAGTGTGCTCAGAAGTCAAGTCTGTCTTACACTTGCTGCTTGCTAGGGCATGGTTTCACCATGGGTTAAGACAGCAAGGTCTTCCTCCCCTTTGGCCCCTGAAGCAAGCCCACCCATCCCATCCTATCAGAGTGAGCCCCCTTGTTCAATGTAGCCTCAAACTGGAGCAGTAGTGAGCCATAAACACCAAGAGCAGTCTTTAGGATCTAGTCTAAAAGAGCTTCCCAAGGCCAATTGGCTTCGTAACTTTTTATTTTATTTTTTTGAGACAGGATCTCATTATGTAGTCCAGGCTAGCCTTGAATTCACTATCCTAGACTGGCCTTGAATTTACAGTGATCCTCCTGCCTCTGCCTCTAGAGTGCTGGGATTACCGCTGTGTGCCCAGCCAGCTTCACAACTTTCACCCTCTATAAAATTCCAAATTCAGGCCTTTGACTTTACCTAGTTCAGCTAGTGACTCTAGGAACCCTTTCTTACCACAGTCCCTGGACCCACGCTGATAAGTGTTCTGTAGTCCACACCCCAGGCTTCTCTGTCAGTATCAGACACAGCTACTCAGTTTTTAAAAATGGTGCTGGGGACCAAAACCTCTTATCCTTAACCCCATAAGGTGTTTTTTATTTTTTGAGACAGGTCAAATTGGTCAACTCTGTAGCCTAGGCTGACCTTGAACTCTAGGCAGTCCTCCTGCCTCATCCTCCCAAGTGCTGAGATTACAGGTGTGTGCTACCATGCCGGCCAAGGGGTTGTATTGTTTCATTTTTGGAACTGGGAATTGAACCCAGGGCCTCTGCATTGAGCTATATCCCTAGCATTTTTTTAACATTATATTTTGAGACAGGCTCACTAAGGAGCTAGGCTAGGCTATAACTTGATCTTCCTGCCTCAGCTTCGAGTGAATTCAGTTGTGTGCCACTGGGTATGGCTCCCATTTTTTAATTTGCTTGACATCTGCCACATTTAAGCTGTAGGGGAGGGACCTTGCCTGGGAATCCAAAGCTTGGCCCAGGTACTTGGGGAATGCTTAAGGGATTTCCCGTGTGGCTGAGGTCTCGCTTTGTGACCTCCAGCATGGGGGTTAGTTAGACTTCCTCACCTTATTCAACTTAAGTTAGGCCAAAGCTGATGCTCTAACCCATCCTTGCACTCTTTGCTCAAGGGCTAAAGGGCTAGGAAACTGGGACTTGATGTGTTTGCCAAGTTACTGTGTCACAAGGACCACCCTCCAGAGCCGCCACTTCCTGGGACTGTAAACACTCAGTACACACCAAACTGGGCATTGAGATGAATTTTGCTAATTTATTGTGTACTGCTTCAGGCTGTGTAGCTTGTCCTTGGCAGCCTTGTGCATCTGGTTTCACTGGGTACAGACTGAGATAAGCAAAATGTTTTACTTCTGGGTCTTTGATGGAAATCTTCCCCTTATCATTTAATGGGCCCATTTTCAGAGGCAGCAAATGAGGTAGAGATTTCTCTATTCGTAGGAACTAGGAGTTTGTGTTCCAGATCACTTCTAGAAGTGAGGTGAAGCAAGAATGCTCAGAATACTTCAGCTCTGAGGTCTGGGCCAGTGGAAGGAGGTTGGAGTGGGCACCAAAGGTGGCCCTGCATGTGGTTCTAAACACTAGCATTTCCTCCTAAACTAGTGTTAAGAACAGTTTTCCAACTGCAAGTGTAAAGTTTTTTGGAAAATGTTTCCTTCCAGCTGATGGGAAGTGTCAGATTCTCATCTGGCCCTCCCCAAAGACCAACAGCCTGAGAAGGGCCAACCATCTCCCTAGCCAGGGGCCACTGTATCAGCCACAGATTGGAAAACTAGACTGAGGGCCTAAGGTAAGCAGCTAAAGGTAACTGAGCTGGTGCCCAAAAGCAGGTAGGCCAGGCTCCTCCTAAGTTGTCTACTCAGAAGTAGCCGGGTGAGAGAACTGAAGCCGGGGGCAGGCCTGGGAGGTCTGAAGGCCCATTCTCCTTACCAGAGGAGTGCTGCATCACACACTGCCTGGAGGATGCACTAACGGCCCCAAATGTTTTGACTCACCCAGAAGCCACTGGGATACCTGTATTGTTCGGGGTGGCATAGTTATGGGAATGCTGTTGATTAAAAACAGGACAAGCAGACATAGTGAAATGCTTTATTCTTCAAGTTCACCTCCCTATATTAGGGATTTCAAAAATTGTACTACATGATTCTCATTAGACAAAAGGCAGATCTTAATGGGGAGCAATCCTCTCCTAATCATCAGTGCTGGTCCCAAAGAGAGCCTCTGAGTTCACAGAACAAAAATGCAAAGTTCCTCACTCTTCTAATGATCAGATGAAAAATCGCCAGCAAGGTTTCAAAGGCTACTCTAAAGCTCCACTTATTCCTTAAAAGCAGAAAAATTCTTTCTTAGAATGTGAACTGGCATCTCAAGTCATGATTATGAATGCCTGCAGCCCAAAGGCACAGCAGGCCATGCTTCCAAAGATCACATTTTTATTTTTGGATGTGGTACTTCCTGTCTATTACCCCAATGTGTCTCTTCTTGCACTGGCCATAATGTGGCACCCAAGCATGCTGGGTAGACAGATGTCAAGTGAAACAAAGGCACACAATTTCATCTCAGTAAAAGAATAAACAGTGGGGTGGTACCTTTCAAAAAGTCCTTTTGTGGCTGTTTATTATTCAGTGGCCCAACAGACAAAAGGTTCCTTTTGTCTACACTAACAAGTGTCAACACACAGATGGCCTTACAAAGTGGCTGATCACTGTGTACAGAACCATAGAATGTACACTGGAGAAACCCCTTTAAAAGTCCAAATTTGTTTTGAGGAATGAAATGACCCAGGGCCCCAAGGCACACTGTTGGCTGACCTGTTATTCCTGTCCTTTGGCTTCACATGATACTTTTTGTTGTGTGTGTGTGGTGGTGGTGGTACTGGAGATTAAACGTAGGGCCTCCGCCTTTTATTAAATTTTTAATTATTTTTGGTTGCTATGGCTAGTCGTGAACTCTGTGGCCCAGGCCTGCCTTGAACTTCCTTGTCTTCAAGCTTCAGCCTCCGGAGTGCTGGGATTATAGGTGTACCACTATGCCTGGCACAAATTGTGAGGCAGAGTCTCATCAAATAGCCCAGGCTGGGCTTAAACTCTCAATGTTACTTCAGCCTTCCAAATTGCTGGGATTAACGCTGTGGGCCACCATGATCAGCTCATAATGACATTATTTTTTACCTGGACTTCCATAGTAGAAATTTCTCCCAGAGTCATTTGTTACCTACCCAGATAGGGTTTGCGCCTTTAATATTTGGGGTTAACTGGCAGAGTTTAAAGTTCATGTGAATCACTGTGAAGTACTGATACTAACTATAATCTCAAAGGCTCCCTGGGGGTCTTACAGTTTTGAATCCATTAACATTTGTAAGTTATCTGAATATTATTCATGATTCGAGCTATTTTCCTCAACATTCCAAATTTTCTACAACAATCACCTGGTGTTTTGTTTTTTTTTCCCCTCGGTACCGGGGACTGAACTTAGGACCATGTGCTTGCAAGACAGGCGCTTATGCTGCTGAGCTAAATCCCGAGCTCACCTGGTGTTTTGATTATAGCACCTAGAAACAGAACCTAGAACTTCAGCCTGTTTCTTTGATAAATACATACATAAATAAATAAATAATTAAATAAGTAAAACACAGTTCTGAGTCCAACTCCCAGCTCTAGGTGAGTCTTATTCCCAGAGACATGGGTTCCTTCCTTCCCCAGACTTATGTAAACATAGGCATTGGCACAGTTAGTACAAGAGCAGCAGGTTGTCTTTAGATCGGGTGAATATCCACCCTTCACCCTTCCTTTCAGTGGACAAACTGCATTATTCTGATGTGAAGAGAAGTGGACATTACAGGCCTTGAAAGCTGGGAGGTGTTTGGCAATTTCCTTGCTAGTCTCCAGGTTCACTCTGGCAGTTAGAAAAAAAAATGGAAACCACCTCCATTTAAAAAGGATGGCCTTGGGGCCAAAGAGGCAGAGACAAGAAGGCCACAAGCCACTTAGGCAGAGCAGGGGATGGAGGGCAATGTGGGACTGGGAGCAAGGGATCCTTGCATACTAAGAACCTGCCCACACGAAAAGGGCATGAAGTAACCAAGAGTAGACCAGGAGACCCGAAGCCTCCAGCAGTCCTTGTGACTTTTCCATCAGTTCTTTTGTCACTCAGTCCTTCATGGAGGGGATGACTGAGCATGTCACTGTGCAGGTAAAAGAAGGGAAAGCTGGATCCACACTCTGCCTGGAAGGAGCTACACTACCCTCTCCCATCTTCTGCCTCCCCACCCCCTGCAACAGCCTCACGGCCACCTCACTAAGAAGGCTTCTGTATGGTTCTCAGCTAGCTCTTGAGAGGGCGAGGAGGGCAGAAGGGAAGGGCCACCGTGTGGCTCCTGCCCTGGGCCCAGGCTGGTGATGAAGCAGAAGGCAGTGGAACTGTGGTCACCGGGACTAGGCAGTGAGCAGGTGGCCCCTGCCTAGGAGAGAAGCTCCAAGAGTAGTTTCCAGATGTGCACGGTGCCAGGTTCTTCAAAGCCAGATCCTGCAGGGGCGATGCTGGCTGCCAAGAAGAAAATCTCCCGCTGGTTGTCAATAGCCTGCAGACCCAGCTCCTGCTGCAGCTCCACCACACTCATGGCCTCGCTCAGGTCCTGGGAAGAACACAGGAGTCAGTGGGAACTCAGCTGACTGTTTCCGACACTGCCACCCTGTCACCCATACAGTTCACTGTTCTTGGGCTATGTGAAGATCAGGGCCCAAATTCCCACCAGCCCCTTCTGGACCCCCTGGAATCACACCAGTGCACTCTCCTTCCTCTGACTCCTTTGTATCAACCACTTTTTATTGCATTACCAATAATTATTGCATTACCAATATTATTGCAATTATTTCTCACCATTACCATGGTGAGAAACAGCCCTGTGATAGGTGCTCATGTCCCTTGTCTCCAACTTTTTTTTTTTTTTTTTTTTGTCTTTTTCATTTTTATCGGTACCGGGGATCGAACTCACGACTGCCTGCTTGCAAGGCAGGCGCTTATGCCGCTGAGCTAAATCCCCAGCCCCTGTCTCCAACTTTTATATCCATACTTAACTGAAGAAATTGGCTTAGGAAGGTGAAGTCATTTAGTATGGACAACAGTGATGAGGTGCACGGCCAGGTTCCAAACAGACTGATTTAATCACTAAGCTTTGGGCCTTACAAGAATTCCTCCTCCTAGTACCAATCAATCAATCAATCAATCAATCAATAAATAAATCAATAAATAAATAATAAATAAATAAATAAATAATAAATAAATAATAAATAAATAAATAAATAATAAATAAATAAATAAATAAATAAATAAATAAAAGAATTCCTCCTCAGTTCCCTAAATTCAACAGTGGAGAGGTCATGCACAACACTGCACAAACTAGCTGGAAGGAAGCTACTCTGCAACACAGCTGCTGATAGAGCATTTAAATTCCAACCCTGGTCCCAGATTAAAATGATTCTTCTTGGAGTAAATTCATAGTATTTTGGAACCTTACGTGTCCCTTGTAGTTTTAAAGAAGCCATAAAGAAATAATAAAGCAAGGTGTGGTGGCACACACCTGTAATCTCAGTGCTTAGGAGGCTGATGCAGGAGAATGTACAAAGTTCCAAGACAATAGGGTACATAATGAGTTTATGACCAGCATCAATGTGAGATTCTGCTTCAAGAAACTTAATTTAAAAATAAATAGGGTTGGGGGTTTAGCTCAATGGCATAAGAGCATGCTTGGCAAACTCAAGGCCGTGAGTTTGATCCCTGGCACTAAAATGAAATAAAATAGAGCCATACAGTGGCTGAGGTGGGAGGAATGTGAGTTCAAGTCCAACTTCAGGAAAATAGCAAGATTGTATTTAAAAATTTTTTTAAAAAGCTATAAATTAGGTGTTATCTTCTGTAGGTACAAATCTGCTGTGAATTAGTTTATGAATAGGATTTGTTTGACTCACTGTCCAAATAAGGGCACTTGTGAGGTTCACAAAGGGCAATATTAATAGTTACACCAGAATGACATGCATAAATGGGGAGACGAGGACATATGGTCATCATATTTATAAATAACTGTCAAGTGTCTCCTGATAGAGGAGGAACCTAAGGTCAAAGACACAGCTTCTCTCCAAGCCAAGTTGTCAAAATGTTCCCTGGCTCTCAGAGACACACAGACATTGGCCACAGGGAAGCCGGCAGGCTCAGTACTATGGCGGTTTCCCCAAGTAGGAAACATGGTACTTAAGATCTCCAAAGCCAAAAGCTGCTGGGCCCAAGGGAGTCCAGGGGTACAAGGTAATGGTTAAGAGGAAGGGATTCAGGGCTGGGGATGTAGCTTAGTGGCTCTAAGGTCTTGGGTTCAATCTCCAATCATGCCTAAAAACAAAACAAACGAATAAATGGCAGGAACTTTGAGGAAAGTCTGAGTTTTAGCCTTGGCTATGCCAAAGTTATAACTTCAGCATTTGAGTATAACAGTTTTCATTTTGTTTCCACTGAAGATTGAATTCAGGGCCTTCACAGTGAGTTAGTCCCAACCTTTTTAATTTTATTTTTTGATACACATTCTCACTAAATCACAAAATTGCCCAGGCTAGGCTCAAACTTGGGAATCAGCCTCCCAGAGTGCTGGGATTACAGGCATGTACCACCACACCTGGCACAACAGAGTTTTTATAGAACTAAAGACTGTCAGATGCTTAGCAGTGTGCCTGGAACACTAAGCACAAAAATATTAATTACCTGTTCTTCTTATCACTTTAGCTCTCTGGCCTAGAGCAGAAAGTTGCAAGAACACAGAAGAATGGATAAGATGTAGGTGTGTTTTTGTTTTTTTTAAGATAGGATTTCGCTATTACAGTTTGGGCTAGCTTGAACAATGTAGCCCTGGCTGGTCTCAAACTCAAGCAATCCTCCTGCTTCAGCCTCCTAAGTGCTGAGATTACAGGTGTGCACCACCAAAACTGGCAAGGTTTTGAAATCAGACATCCCAGTTCCACTATTCCCAAGGCGTACCACCTCGGGTAGATTACAGACCTCTCTATAAACTTTAGGAACTGCATCCCACATCTTATAGGATCAACAGAAGCCCAATAAGGACTGCTTTTCAAAACCATGCCTGGTATATTATCTCTCTCACCTCTCAAAGGTGACAAAGGATAGAGAGGCAAAGGAGAAATAAGATAGAGGATAAGATGAGAAAAAGCATAAATAGGAGAAGTAGGGCCAGTATCTTCACTGAGTCAAATTCCTCTGTAATGTTCCCTGCCCCTAACCCAGAATTTACTAGTGGAAGTCTGCATAGCTTTAGCTAGCCTCCTAAGGCCTCACCTGCTTGTTGGCCACCACGACGACAGGCAGGTCCGGGTCCTTGTCTAGCAACTTGTGCAGCTCCTGTCGGGCCCAGGGCAGCCGGAGCCGGTCAGCTGAGTCCACCATGAACACTAGCACATCCACCTCATTCACAAACTCCTTCCAGTAGAAGCGCAGGTTCTGGCTGCCACCAACTGAGGAGAGGTCAGTGGCCAGTTCAGAGCCTCCCTGGGCCTGGCTCTTTATCATTAGCATCAACCCACCCACTTCCAGCTTCCTAAGGCTGCAGCAGCCAGAGTCAATGAAAGGACCACAAAGTCCTGAACCAATCAGACTGGAGTCCATCAAATCTGAGTGTAGCTCTAGCTGTCAGCCTGGTCTCTTAGGGCAAGTTGCTGCCTTCACATACCACCAAACTCACCCAATAGGCTGCGGTAAAACCCAAAGATACCACAGGCAACACATCCTTCACAGAACTGGTGCACAGGTGCTCTCGAAGTACCCTGAAGTTCTCCGCTACCTCACCTTTTGCCAATTCTTAGCTTCCTCCCAGGTCATGATGGCTGTGATTAGAAGTCAGTAGTCTCAGTGCCTTGAAAAGTCAGGACACCCTGGTTTGCCTGTGCACAGCCACTCTCCAAGCAATTTTCTCACACCATTCTCCTCCCTTGGAAATGCCAGGCTTAATCATGAGTGGTCCATGAGTTGCTTTCCTGTTGTCTCTGCCCTTCTGTACCAGCCTCACGGATCACCCTGCATCTTAGTATCACTTGCGTGGATTCTAAACTGACACACATACTTACCTCTGAATCCCCCCAAAGCCCCAGCACAATGCCTGGCACATAGCAGGCACTCATCAAGTATTTACTGAGTGCTTACTAGGTGCCAAGCACTGATCTGGGTGCTGGGGATACAGAGGTGAACAAGGCAGACGGCCCTGCTCTTAAGGATTCCCTCCCTAACCGGGATGGACCAGCCATAACCCAAACGCATTCTAGAAAGAAAGGAAATAAAGCAAAAAAAGGGAAAGCAGCTGAGGTAGGGGTTGGCCTTGTGTTCAATGGTCTGGGGAGTTTTCTCCAAGAAGGTGGATGTGAGCTGAGTTTGGGATGATGAGAAAAAACAAGCCAGGAGAAGAGGCAGAGAAAGCTCAGCGTGCTTGAGAATCAGAAAGCAAGCCACGGTGGCTGAAGTACTCTCTCACCAGTGGGACAGGAGGAAGCTACACAGATGAGGGTGGCCAGGGTAGACTGCTTAGGGCCAGTAAGGCCACAGTAACCATGTAGGATTTTTAGGCAAGAGTGATGTAATCTAATGCAGGGTTTTGAAAGATTGCTCTGGTTGACCCTAGGGACAGAAGTGGAAGCAAGACCAGTAAGGAGGCTGTGGCAGTACTGACAGGAGAGAAGACAGTGGCTTGGACCACACAGCTGCAAAGGAGGTGGGAGGTGGACATAGCTGAAAGCAGCAGCTAATAAACTGGATATAGAAGGTGGGGGAAGGGAAGAGCCATCAAAGTGTTGGAATTCATGTAAGTTACTAATTATCTCCAAAGAGCCCATTCTCTGTTGGGCCCCAGACCAAGCAATGCAACCACAGTGAAGGGTTTGTTGTTTGACCCTACGGCTTGACTGGGAGATCTAGGTTTGTATCCAGTAAGTTCAGACCGTTTCCACTCAGACCTTCAGATATCATGAAAACAACCATCCCCTTCTCCCAGAGAGAGACAGGCCCCAGACAAGGTATCAAGGCAAGAGCCCCGCCTTGACCTAAGTCCTTAGCATGAAAGAACCACCTGACAAACATTAGTTTAAGAACCAGAATCCTAGGTGAGTATCAGTGTTTGCTATAATCAGGGAAAAAAGATATGGCCACAGCAGGCCAACAGGCAAGCACCTGAGAACAGAGGAAATAAGCCCCCTCAGGCCAGCAGTCAGGCCCTCAGTCTGATGCCTAATCCTCAATTAAACCAACACAGCCTCCATGGTCCGAGTTCTGTGGCAGCCGTCTCAGTGACAGTGAGGTCAGACAGGTGACTGCCTTTTCAATACCATCCTTGCTGTCTTCTTCCAAGATACCACAAAGTCCAGGACTGAGGGCCAGCGGCTCCTCAAGATTCTCTCAGATCACTCATTCAATAAATACCTACTGGGAATCAGAGAGGCTTCACAGAGATATCATGTTTAAACTAAAGTGTGAAGGATGAGTAACAGTTTATCAAGGGAGGAGGGCTTTCTAGACTAAAGGAACAGTGTCTATGAAAGGAGATAAGAGATCATCAGTCACTCTTCAGAAATAAGCACTGTAATATGCTGCTCAACAGTGAAGGCCTACAGCCAACATTATGCATCAGGACACTGGAAAGCTGGGTGACCTTGGATAAATGACTTAACTTGTTGGGCTTCAGTTTCTTCATGTGTATAATGCAACTGTTGGGAGGATTTTACTATGTAACACCTATCAGGTACTTGGCATAAGCACCATTAGCTGTTAGGATTTCACTGCCCTGCATGTAAGCTTCAGTAATGCTGAATGGCAGGCAATTAGTACGTTAAGGATTTTTGATCACTAAGGGCCCATATGCTACAATACAGAGTTTGTCCCACGAGGGATGTGAAAGATTTCATATAAGGGAGTGTTTTGCTTAGATATACAAGTTAGGCCACCCCCCCCAAAAAAAAGAATCCAGGCCCAGGCCCAGCAGTGGTGATGGGGAGGTGGGACGGGGCTCTCTGCTCACTCTCTAAAAGGTCCACCTCGAAGTCTTTGGTAGGCAGCCGCACGGAGTTGAAGCCCCAGGTAGGGACATGGCCTTCCAGCGGTGTCTTCCCCGACAGCACGCGCAGAAACGTGCTCTTCCCACAGCCATCCAGCCCCAGCACCAGCACCTCTCGTTGCTCCAGCTCCTCCAGAGTCGGTTCCTCCCCTTCCTCGTCCTCGGGCTGCACGACACAGGTCAGGCTGCGGTTGGCAACTTCCCACTTGACCCTGCCCACATCCCCTTTCTCCCCTCCAGGGACAGGCAGGGGTGGTCTGGCGGAACCGGATCAGCGCTGCCTTTGGGAGTTGTAAACTGCAACTCCGGCTTTCCAAGTGTACTCTGGAACATTCCGTTCTCTGGCGGACTGACCTTATCACTTCCCGGGACTGCAGGGGAAACCGAGCCGCGGGAAACTCTGCAGAGGGTTCTTCCCGGCATCCCCCAGGGCCCTGCCAACGCGCAGTGCGCAGGCGCCGCGCGGATCAGACCGGCTAGAGCTGTCTCTTCGGTGCCGCCCGCGTCCGCCAGACTGCGGCATCACCGGAAAAGCTCTGGTGCCGAGACGTCGCACCCAAATTCGCTCAGCCGTTCCAAAAGTCCTTGCCTCCCTGCCTGTCTGCTGGGTGGCCACTCGCTCACAGGGTAGGGTCGCGGCCACACCCCTCAGCCACACGCGCGCGGAGACGCAAACACGGCCCACCCGGCCCCGGCCCCGCACTCACGTCCCACTCGTCCCACTGAGGGAGGCGGGCGGGCTCCGCGCCCCACCAGGCCTCGCCGCGGTCCCAGCGCCGCTCTCGTCCGCGGCCGAAGTAAGCTTTCCAGAGGATGAAGAGCACCGAGCCAAGCACGGCCGCGGCGCCGCCCAGCGCCAGCACCAAGGGGCCCAGCGGTCGCGGCGCCATCGGGTCGGGCGAGGGGCGCAGGTGTGGGCTGCGCCGGCGGAGCCCGCCCTCCCGCCGAAGATGGCCCCGCTGCGGCTGCGGCTGCCGCGCCCACCCACTGTATCCCAGCCCCGCACTACAAGCCCCACAATGCACTGCCGCTGTCGCGACCAGCGGGCTGCGAGGCTGGGGGCGATGGCCGGCGCGGCGGGAAGTGTTTTTGGGCTGCCGCCAGGTGCTTTGCGGAGCGCGAGGCCGTTCCTCCTGAGCGTAGCGCTCGGCGGTATTTGCTACCAACTGCGGAGCGCTTTCTGGAAGCCGTGGTGTTAACTGATGGATTTACCTCTTATAGTACCTCCCAAAGGGAAATCGAGACCCAGGAGATAAGTAATTTGTCCCAGTATGCACCAGAGAATTTAGTGCAGCTTGCATTCAAACCCAAGCGATCTATCTTTCAAGGATCCCTCAAGACCCTGGGGAAGAAATTGAAACCAGTTCGCTCGGTATCACCTGCTCAGAAAGTGGCAGAGGCAGGATGAGAATTTGACACCTTGATCCTTAGCGTCTCATCTCTCCTTTGGCTGCCTCTGAACGCCTAAGTTTTCTACTATATTAGTGTGCTGGGCACGTTAATGAAGCAGACAGGCCCAATGGTCAGAATGTTTAGACTGACCGCCTTGTTGGCGGTCACCCCCAAGAACCGCCAAATCTTCGAGATACAGCGAGAGGTGGAGGAATAGGAGATGCATCAGTCCTTTGGCACTTCAGAGAGGGGCTCTGCTGAGAGCTGTGGGGTAGTAAGTGAAGAGATTCTGAGGCTAGTGGGGCCAATGTCATACCCTAGGTAGTATCACAGCTCTTGACTCCAGGTAGCCAAGTTTCCCTGTAACCCTGGCTCTGCTTCCCAGCCTCTGTTCCTTCTAACTTGGCTCTCCTTTATCTTTGGCTATGTGTGTATACTGCCTTTCTATCTTGACTTTTTACCAACGTTGTATGGCTTCCAGCATTGAGTCTGTTTTAAACATTTATTTTCATATTAACATTTTGGGAAGAGACAATTTGTATAGTTTATTAGGAAATACCTGGAGGTCTTAAACAACACTTATGAAAACTGAGAAGATGCAGGGGATAGCCAAATGAAGAGGAAAATGTCACCTGCTGATGCCGCACGGCAAGGACCTCCCCAGGGAACAGGGAGCATCCTGAGCAGCTATGTGGAGCACAGCAGCTACCTTCTCCTTAACTCCCAATCAAATAGGCAGCTTCTCTGAGGAAATGAGGGCTGGGAGAAAATATCTTCAAAGGATGTCTTCAGTGCTGTTTCAAACTATGGTTCAAGATCGTTCATGAGTCACAAAATATTTAGTGAATAGTAGCTATACGTTTTTTAAATTAGAAAAATAGAATAATAAAGAATGAAAATTATAAGTGTTTTGAGAAACTGTGTGTTTGCCCCGACACCTTCTAAAAAATATTAAGGCAGATGTGATGGCACATTCCTATAGTCCCTGCTACTTTGGCAACATAGTGAAAACTCGCATCTTTTTTTTTTTTTGTCTTTTTCATTTTTATCGGTACCAGGGATCGAACTGACGACTGCCTGCTTGCAAGGCAGGCGCTTAAACATCCTAAAAATGTCTTACTGTGGAGTAATAGTTTCAGAGTTCCTATTCTAGTCTAAGTGCCTCCGTGAGGAAACTGGAATCAGGGAAGATGTGCAGCCTTTTCTCCCCACCTACACATACTCACAGTCCTGTTTGAAACTTGCTTTCACCATCTGTGTACATGGGAAGTGTCTAGATTGCTTAAAATCTACCCAGGGCACTAGCTCAGGCCTTGAAGGACCACTTCATTGGCAAGATGGGGACAAGACCTCTAAAGAGAGATTGTTCAGCACCAGTATGTTTATCCAGAACTGTACACTCAAAAAAGTGATTAATAGAGACAAATAATTCACAGGGATTTAACCTTGGCATTCATGAAAACTTTAAACTGGTTGTGGTGGCACATGTCTGTAATCCCAGCTGTTTGGGAGACTAAGTTATGAGAATCCAGAATTTGAATACTACCTGGACAACACAGGCCACAGAGATTGGTTGGTAGGGGGCAGTACATAACATATTTTAATATCTGAAAGCCAGGGCAGGCCTTCTGTGGCATCTTTCAACCTGATATTGAGAAACAGAGCCAGGCTCTTTGTGGTAGATGGAAATCAAGCTTGAAAACTGTCAGCAGTTGTGCCCATGACAGACATTGAGAGAATGAAGATAATGCGAAAAGATGAGAAAATATATTTGAGCCTCTGGTTTCAAGTATTCATGAAGGATTCCATCCCCAAAGGTGCTGGAGTTGGGTTCCTCTATTTGCAACTGAACAAGCCCTGACAAAAATCTTACATTAAGAATAGCTTAATGAATGTGTATAAATTAATCATCTAAATCTACCAACTATTGGCCAGGTGTGATGGTGCATGCCTATTATCCGAGCACTCGGGAGGCTGAGGCAGGAGATTTGCTGTGAGTTCGAGGCCCATCTGAACTGCATAGTGAAACTCTGTCTCAAACAAAAAAACAAACCAAACTCACCAACTATTAGCATGTTGCCTCATTTCATTTACCTAGTTTTTTTTCTTATATACAGTCATTTTTCTGTATGTGCAAGGGAGATTGGTTTCAGAAAATATCCCCCATCCCTGAAGATACCACAATTTGCAGATTCTCAAATCTGCTATGCAAAATGACATAGTATTTGCATATAATTTATGTACATCTTCCTGGCTATTTTATGTCATCTCCACATGATACATAAACAATGTAAATGCTAGGTAAATAGTTGTTATACTAATTTTAGGGACTAAGGACATGGTTGCAGTACTTTTTGTTTTATTTTGTGTTTTGACACAGTTTTGCCCTACATCTCAGGCTGGCCTCAAAATCTTTAAGTCTTATTCTTGCCTCAATCTTCCAAGTAGCTGGACTACAGGTATATAATATATGCCAAATTTATACTGTGGGTGTGTAAGAACATGTTCATGTTAGAAGACATACCGATAATGCCAGAAATTTTCATGTTCATATAATATTTGGATGTCATCAATTGCCCCCCGTAGTACACTAATCATTTAATAGTGCCCTTTTTACTTGTTTTTAAAAATTTTTATTTTCATTACTATATGGTTGTAGTACACAATGATTAGATACATGACAGGGAATTGGTACATGTATGTAACATACCTCAATTCCTTTTACATTCCCTCCTCTGTCTTTCCTCCTCCTTTTCTCCATGTCTTGGTCTCTTCTCATTTGCAAACATTTATTTCCATGTTTCCTATTTTATTTTGTCCCTCCTCCTTTTGGCTTTCTGAGACTGAATCTCAGTGCGTAGGTCAGGCTGGCCTTGGACTCACTATTGTATCCCAGTGCAAGGCTGGCCTGCACTGAATGTGCAGTGATTTTCCTGCCTCAGCCTCCTGAGTGACAGAATAACAGGTACATGCCATCACACCCGACTTCTATTTCCAATTTTCTATCTTTTATTTTGCTCATTAATTTATTTATATTTTGGTTTCTCATGTAAGAAAACCATGCAATATTTAAGCTTAAATGTGTCTGATTTAGTTCACTTACATTATGCTCTCAGAATGCACTAATTTTCCTACAAGTGACTCAAATGTATCCTTATTTATAGGAGAATAGAATTCCACTGTGTATAAATAATCACATTTTCTTTATCCATTCATTATTGATGGACATACAGGCTGCTTCCAAGATTTAGCTATTGTGTTATGCTGGTAGGGATGTGGATGTGAATATATCACTGGAATGTAACACCTTTAATTCTTTCAGGAAAGTTCTTAGAAGGGGGCATAACTGGGTCAAACAGAACTTCAATTTTTAGTTTCTTGACATGATTGTAATGATTTCCATAATGATTGTGCTAGTTTACACTCCCACCAACAATGTCGAAGGGCTCCTTTCTCCCCACAGCCTTGCCAGCATTTGTTACTATTGGATTTCTTGATTATAGCCATTTTTTTCTGGAGAAAAAATTTCAGTGTTTTTGTAATTTGCATTTCTGTAATTGCCAGAGATATTGAACATTTTTGTGTATTTATTGGTCATTCACACTTCCTCTGAGAAGCATCTATTCATTTTAGTTGCCCATTTTTTTTTGATTGGGTTTTTTATTTTGGAGGGTCTACTTTCATTTCCATTACTTATATACTCAAGATATTAGTCTGATATCTAGGGAATGGATTAATTATTTTCCCATCTTGTAGTTTGTCTCTTTATTCTATTGGCTCTTCCTTTTGCTATGCAGAAGCTTTTTAATTTGATAAAACTGATTTGTTTACTATTGATGTAATTTTCTCATGCAATTGGAGTTCTTTTCAGAAAGTTCTTGCCTATGCCTATACCTATGCCTATGTGCCTGTGTCTTCAAGAGTTTTGCCTATTATCTTGGTTACTTTTTGCTTCTTGCGAGACAAAACACCCAACATCCAAAATTAAGGAAAGAAAGATTGATTTAGCTCACTGTTTATAGGGGTTTCAGTCCATAATCAGCTGGACCAAGACAGGATGGCATGGCACTGGGGCAGCACTTCAAGGCAGCATCCAGGAAAAGCAACCAGAGCAAAAAAAGGAAGAACAGGCCTCTTTTTCTCTCTTATATTGTACATAGGCTGCCCCCCTACCCCCCACTCCTGCTCCAGGGAGAGTGTAGCACTCACAAAATCTGCTTGCCCTCCTCTTGTACAGGAGGAGATTTACAAAGTAAGATCCCTGGCTCCCAGCTGAGTCTCTTTGTAAAAAGTCAGATGGCTGAATGTGTCTAGGCTTGTTTCTGCATCCTCTTTCTGTTCTATTGATCTACTTTTTTGTGCCAAAATCAAGGTGCCTTTTCCCTTCCCTTCCCTTCCTTTCCTCTTTTCTTTTCTTTTTTCCTTTCCTTTCCAACTTTCCCCTTTCCCCTTTCCTTTCCTTGTACCAGAAATCAAACTCAGAGTCTTGTGCTTGCCAGGCAGGTGATACATTGCTCAGCTACATTCCTGGCCTACCATGCTGTTTTTATCATTGTAGTTTTGTAATATAACTTGAAATTTGGGGTTGTGATGCTTCCTTTTTTGCTCTTGCTGCTGGAGATTGCTTTTGCTAGCCTATATTTTTTCTGGTTCCATATGAATTTTAGGAATTTTTTTCTCTAAATCTGAGAGGTATTTTAATTGAGTTTGTATTAAATTTGGATATCATTTTCATAAATGTGGTTAT